AGGATCAGGAAGCAGAGAGAGGTAGGGGCGGGGCCGGTTCTAGAGGTAGTGCTCCTGGGGCCCAAGGAAGGCACCAAGCCGGTGGGGGTGAACAGGGTCAGGAATCAGCAGTGGCTCCCCAGGTGTCTGGGGCCCCAAGACTAGGAATGGCACAGGGCCCAAGCTAGGAGTAGAGAACAGCGGGGGAGATGGAAGCGTGAGCGCGGCTGGAGGAGTCAAGGCGAGGAGGGCTGCACTGTAGACTTACCCCCAGAGAGGCCTGAGGGTGGGAGAGCAGGCCAGGAGAGTTAGCCAGTGGTGCAGGTCCGGGAAGCAGGGAGAGGTGAGGGCGGGGCCAGCCGGAATGCTGTTTTACTCTGTGCCAGTTAACTTGAACTTTTATTGGATACGTGGCATTTCCTAGCCCTTGGTTTCCACTCTATCTTCTCCAGGAAGCATTCCATATACCCGTGCAAAGGGCTGGTCCTGGTTTTTCTATTGCATGTTGTTTTCTCTACATAAAGTTACAGTATTAAAGCTCTGAGAAGCAAAACTACCACAATCGTCTTCCCACATTCATTCATTCATTCATTCATTTCAATTTATAAACAGCATCTTCTTTTTTCGAGACAGAACTCTAGGTATTGTTAAAGAACATTCTAGTGAGATAGAAAGACAACAAACAAATAGATGGATTTGTAGCAGGAAACCATTAGAGTAAGGGATTCAAGTGTGATGGCTGACACCATTTAAAAAGTATATTCAGGTCAGATACAAAGGCCCTTTCAATGACTCCATGGTCTACCACTACCTGAACATCATTTTTTGTTTTTCTCATCAAGGGATAGAAAAATCTATTTATCGTAGCATTCATCCCAAGCAGGTTGCATTTCCAAATAAAAATGTTATTGCTAAACAATAAAATAAGACCAATCAAGAACAAAAAACTGAATGAAGTATAGGAGCAAAGTGAGTAAACGTTGGGGAAATTGTCATTTTTAAGAGAGAGAGTCTGACCCAAGGCAAGAGCATGCTGGGATGCTTTAGGAAGCTTAAGTAGGGCCTCAAAAACAATCTCAGTGTGTCAGGAAGCCACTGAGGGCCACAGGCTTAGCACAGTGACACTAAAAAGGTCCTCAGTGATGGTGTTGACTGAAAGAACAAGTGAAATGCAGTCTGGGAAAATGACTAAATAGGTTTCTTTGCTAAAAAAAACTTCCCAGAAACTTTAATGTGTATATCTTCAATCAAGGCAAGAAGGGGTCCCAAACTGAACTGACCACAGAGCCCCTATTTGATAGATCATTTTAAGACTGTGGTTCCACAGTTTGGGAACTATTGCTGTTGCAAGGCCTTGGTTTTATGATCTGTGTCCAGAAGAGCAAACTGGATAGAATAGCATCCAGGAAGTACGAGCTCAAATCCAATGCAAACATAAGGACAGGAGAGTGTGGCACAGCTGACGCCTCCTCTCTACAAGATCTCCCTTCCACCCTGCCTCCCTCAGTCACTTGTTTTCCACACGAAGGCATGGGAAAATTCATTCTTTTATCCTGTGGGTCATCCAAAAGAAGCTGGACTTTTTCAAACACAAGTTTTAATAATAAGCAAAGGAAAATTGATCATAGGGATATAGAAAGAGTCTGTCTGTTTTGATGTCTCAGAACCCCATCTTGACTCTTAGAGCAGGAGCGCTGTGTGTGATTCTGTCTCTCCTGTTGGCCACATCTCTGTCCCTCTTGAAGTAGACTTTGTTAATCCTGGATTGGAAGAACCATGCTGACATGGCCTCCTGGTTATGTCTCAGAAATCCAAAGCTCCCAAAGATCTGGCAAATCTATATGTATTTTGTAAATGATGAAATGTGCATCTTCCTAATCATGAGCTGGGTTCATGACAATAATGTACTTTACTTAGCAACTGAGTTTCTTCCCATATGCCCTGCTGTATCCCATATATCAACCACCACCAGCTCCCACCTCAGTATAAGGGCAGATAGATCAGAGTCTCCTTGTGATTTAGTGCTCATATAGAATTGATTCCATGGGTAATTGTGGTCCAAGAACTCTTGTGGACCATTCCATCACCAACGTCTAATAGTTTCTTTTCTCATTGCTGTGACTCAACACCTGACAAGAATAAACTTAGGGAAGGACAGGTTTATTTTGGCTCAAAGTTTTCAGGTACAGCTCATCTTGGGGAGGAAAGCATGGTGGCAGGAGCTTAAGGTAGCTGGTCTCACGGCATCTACAGTCAGGAAGCAGTGTGGTGATACATGCCGGTCCTCAACTCACTTTCTCCTTTTTATTCAGTCTGGCTTGGAACAATACTGCCCCATTTAGGCTGTCTTCCCATATGAATTAATGCAACCTAGAAACTGGCTCACTGACACACCCAGAGGTTTGTCTCCTAGTAGGAGTTCACAATCAATACTAACCACCAAAAGCCTCTTCTTGACCTAAGAAATGTTCATTTCTAAGAACCCAGCAACACAGCTGGTTTCTTTTCATTTTGAACATAGGTAACCATTATCTTACTAGAGTTCTGACTTCAAACTCTGGCTACAGTGTCAGACAGGATACTTCTCAGCTACTCGGGCCTTTAGAGATTAACAAGAAGTTGTTTTCTTTTTAAAAGAGTTTTGTAGGTAATCAGTATGGGGCGGGTCGCTTGACCCCCGGCGTGGTGTGTGCGGGCACCCTGGGGTCTCCGCCACACCTGGCTAATCCCGGCGTGAGTCTGGCTGCAAGCGATGTGGGGAGCGCGCCTGGGCTCCCGGGCGCACTCACTCTGGATGTGGCCCAGGGTCAGGTGTGCGTGCACTCTCCTGCCGTGGTTCTGGTCCCACTGGCTAGCTAGCGGCTGGTGGGCCTGGCCGGCCGCGCCTCTCTGGAGACGGCAGGTGCGAAGACTTCTCTGATGCTGGCTGTAGCTGATAGCTACACACTTCTCTGGACCGGAGAGCTTCTTCTGCTACTAGAGTATTATCTAGTCGAGATCCCGCCTCTATTACACCCTTGTGTCCTTCCTCAGGATTGCGGAGTCCTGGCCAGTGAACTCCACAGGGAAGAAACACGGAGGCGGCGAAAGCTAGGATATCCGTGGGTCGGTAACGGAGAGTGCTGCTCTCCGGTGAGATCAGGTCGCCGGTAGTAAGACACAGGACTCAAGGCACGGCTTAGTCTGTGTTTACTGCTTTATTGTATCTCTGCTCCTTGCTGTCCAGCTCTCTGCTGATCCAGCTTTCTGGGACCCAATCTCCGGGACCCAGTCTCTGACCTGATCTCCGACTATTAAGAGAAGACTAGCATATTTATATACCATGGGGGTAGTGGTAATAGCTTTTAGATACTTTGTGAGATATTCTATTTACATGTGGAAGTGGGTTTCTGCTAGACTATTGTCTACCTGTAAAAATCACACACAGGAAGGCATGGTATGCATAGAGCCAAAGGCCATGTTTATGTCAAGGCATCTGTGGCGGCCACTTCAAAGGGAGAGACAGGAAAGATGCCAGAAAGCACCTTGCTATGAAAAGGAGCCCGCGGCACATTCCCCGAGCTGCATGAGCTGTCCGGTGTGAAGGGGCTTCGACTTTTGCATAACAGAGGTCTCCCAACAAATCAGGATGGAAAAATAAGCAAGGCATTGCTACATTAGGGATTTCATACAGGTAACACAGTGTTCAAATTATTCTAAGCTCTAATGAAGTCTAACATTACAGACTTACACATAATTATAAAGCTAAGCACATTGAAACAAATACTTTCGTACAATCAATATGTATTTTAATTTCAGTTGTAATGCACTATTAAATTTTGGCTTTTGTGATAAAGTTGACAAGACTGCCAAGTCATCAGCCTTTCCTGGGCTAGATGTAGGGGAACATAGAGTAGACCACAGAAGACATTATTCCTTCTTTGCCTGAGAACACCTCTTCTGTGATTCAAAGCAATGCTCTTTCAGTCTTGAGAAAGATTCCTTTTGTCTTTCCTGGAGGTTTCTGCAGCTCTGACTCTGGGATTTCTACCTTCTCCAGCTCTGGCTCTGGGAGGCCTACCTTCCCCAGCAGGATTTCATGCTGATAGAATGAATTTGATTTCATGGGATAAAGTCGCCAGATAAATTGTTGAGAGTAATAACCTGAGGCGATGCTCACTGGGATACATTAACGAAATGGTATAGTGAATAACAGTGAATTATTCCTGCTCTCAAGGAGATATTGGAAAGTATATTCTTTTGAGTCTTGTGAATGTGAAAATTGGATAAAGATGAAGTTGGAGAAGTAGATATATATAGGAGGGTGTAGACTGGTGTTTATTTTATAGGCTGCTGATAACAAATAATATAAAGATTTTGCATAGGAGAAATAAAAGGTTTCTGTGCAAACAAAAGTCCAGAAAGGTAATATAATAATATAGGTTAGTGTTTTCACCACAAAGATTGTTAGAAATCTAAATTCTTCATCCCTGCCTCAGAACTACTGGATTAGAAGTTCTGGGAGTGAGGCTCTGCAATCTGAGAAGCACTTTCCTGGAAAAAGTCTGGGGAAAGTTGGTCATACACAACCATACAGGTACATTTATTCATTTGACATTGTGACAGGACATTGTGGTCTACAAACATGCTGGGCCACATTTGTATCTATCCTGGGATGCACACAGCCTGTGAGCATGTCTGAAAGGGAAAATGGGAGTGTAAGAAGATAGACAGACAGACAGACAGACGGCTAGCTGGCTAGCTTTGGTTGATTGCATACAGAGGAAAAATGACACTGGATTAATAGATAAGAATCCCTACTGTGAGTAGGGGAACACTTTTCCAAAATACTGACCCATTAGCCCATCAGACTATCTTAGGTGTATCAAAATAATAGCAATAACACACACAAAAAAGTAAGAAAGACAGAAAGGATGAAAGAAAGTGTTTGCAGGGCATTAAGAGTGTTTCAACCCATCTTTCCATTCTTAAAGATCCAGTTGGATGTTACACTGACTAATCTTCCATTTCTTAAAGGTCCAACACAGCAGTTGAAATTGTGAAGAAGTTGACCTCCATCAAGGTCTCGTCATGTAACAGTGAGTCCCATGTTCTCTTGCCTACATGGTCACAGTTTGCTAATGGGATGTTAACAATGGCCTTACTCTGAGTCATGTTTATTCTACTTCAAACATTTTGGTCTGTCACTTTGTAGAGACAGATATTATCAATTTACCTTAGGTTTTAAAGAAGGGATTTTATCCTTACCAAATATTTTCAAACCCATTTTTATCCCAAGTAAGAGGTAAAAATCTAGGAAAATCTTTCATTTCATCTACCTCTCTCAACACCTATAGGCTATATGCATTTAAATTTGAGAGTTGAGGATGGAGATTATGAGCACTGGCTACTCTTGCAAAGGACCTGGGTTCAGCACCCAGCACCCACACAATAGCTAACAACAGTCTGTAACTTCAGTTCCACAGATCTGATGCCTTCTTCTGGCCTCTGTGGGCATTACATGCATATGGCCTACATGCAGACAACTAGGCACTCACATGTGCATGTACATTAAATAAAATCTTAATAATAATAAACTTGAGGGTTAGTCCCCAAAGCCAACAGCTGAATGCTAATAATATGTGAAGATAATCCCAATGAGATGCAAAAATCAAATTTAGGAAAAATTTCCAGTATATTCCCTTTTAATCAAATTATAGCCCTTAAATTTCTATGAACTAGCCATTTCTGTGGATCATTTTCAGTTTTATCTCATGAACTGTAGATCATTCATAAAATGATGTTTCTGTTGTACCAGAATTAAAGTGAATTTCAATAAATCAAAAAACTTCCACTATACCAATTAGCAGGTACATAGTAACCCATTACCTTTTTTCAAGTATTGTTTAGCAAGGACTTATTGTATAAAAATTCTGCTAAACTCAGTGGAGAGCACAGATGTAAATAAGTTATGATTCCAGACCTACAACTACAGCTCACAGTCTGTGGAAAAGACCTTTTCTCTGCTTGGGCAACCTCTAGGCATGGCCGACTCTTACATGAAAGAAAGTTCTTTGACTTTTGAGGCAACTTAAGTTCTCATCACACCTTCTCTGTACCCCTCTTCCCTGGACAATAATTTCTACTAAAGTCAGGAAGATTCTTATAAGACAGTTGTTGTTATTATGATTTTTTTGGAGCCACTAACAAATCTGAAGAATGTAATTCCATATGGAGAGATGTTAAGTTCCTACCTTGTTCTTTCAGTCCCAAGATTCAGGTAGATGATGCAAATGTGCTTTTCAGTGGGAAAACAGAAAAGCTTCCTGTTCCAATTTTATTCTGTTGTTTTATTCTAATTTCATCCTGGTGATAAATACCAGGACCAAAAGCAACAGTGGAGGAAAGGGATTATTTGATTTTTACTTCAAAGTCTGCCACTGGGAGAAATCCTACGTCATGGTCCATTATTGGAAGAAGTCAGGGCAGAAACTCAAGCAGGAACCTGGACAAGGCCTGCTTGCTATTCAATAGAGCATTATCTCTGACCAAAGAGCTCAGTCTACAGGCCAAAGAGGTTCTGTAGGAACCATGGGGAGAATTCTGCTTGTTGGCTCCCTGTACAGGCTCATGCTTAAGTAACTTTCTTATATAGCAAAGGATCACTTGCCCAGGGATGGGGCCACATCCAATGAGCTGGGCTCTCCTACAGCAAAGAACAATCAAAAAACCACTCACAGACATACCCTCAGGCAAATCGGATCTGAGAAATTTCTCAATTGAGACTTCTTTCTCAGATGACTCTAGGCTGTGTCAAGCTGACTGGCAAAGCTACCTAGGACACCTACCAGGGTAGAAAGCTCAGTATGAGGCAGTAAGTGCAGCTTTGGCTGTGTCAATGATTTAGTGTTCAAAACAAGGAAATTATGGCCCTGCTACTTGTCTACAGATGGTAGACCACAATGAGAATATATATCGTCTATACACAATTAAACATTTAAGATTTTTAAATAATTCTCACATATACAACATAAACTCTCATTCCATAAGCATGCTCAAGCTCCTTCATGGGTTAATAGTTTGAGGAAGATGAAACTTGAAGTTTCAGCAAAGCCAATGTCATTGGCGAAGTGTTGGGCTTGACCAGGAAGACCCATTTACAGCCATGTGTTTTTTCCAACTTTAGTTATCTGGCTCACAGTTGAGTGGCTTTGGGGGAAAAGGTACATCCCAGGAAGACACTGCAAAGGTTCACGAGAAAACGGAACCTCACTCCAAGATCTACCCGGTGACAACTTTTTATTTGTCCCTTTAACAGGATTTCATTAAGTAAATGTTTGTGGAGGAAAGGAAGGCAGTCATAGGGAAGAAAATAAGGAAAAGGAAAAGAGGGAAGAGAGGACAAAGCTCAGGGACGTATTTGGAAAATAATTTGTGGGAATAAAAGTGACTTACTCTGGGATTTTTGTTGTTGTTAGAGAGCGAGAACGTGAAAAAGAAATGTCATATTGGAATGAAGACGCCTTTCCCCAGTGGTTACACTATGAAAGAAAAGTGGATTACTGCATTTTGTAAACAGAATGAATTCAGTGCAACAGAAACTATAACTGCCTGCTTGACAAGAAAACTTATTTACCTCATGGGAGATTCAACACTGCACCAGTGGATTTACTATTTACAAAAAACTGTGAAAAGTATGTATTTCACTTTTAGTTTAAAATTCTAGTCAAATCTTCAGGAGTTTTAAATAATAATTATTATTATGAAAATGCTTTCCTTCTCTGGCATTTATTTAATTGGCCAAACTCTTGACTGTTAGGCTTTTAATAAAAAGTTACATTTTAGTTGGTTAATCACAAGCACCAACATCATTTTTCTTATTCATGTATGCTGATAAAAAATAATTTTATTAAGGTCTTCCCAGCTCTATAGAGGATACAAGAAGGAATAAATAGTTCAATATGAACAGGAAAAACAAAGCACTCAGGAAGTCACAAAGTACAAATAAACCATGCTAGAATAATAATCAAAAGAGATCTGAGAAAAAAAATCAACAAATTGACAGGAATTAATACGCATCTTTCAGTAATAACTCTGACCTCAGTTCTACAATAAAGAGACACAGAGTAACAGACTGGATTGAAAAATGCCTTTTGCTGCCTCCAAGAAACACACTTCACCATCAATAGTAGATACAACCTTAGGGTAAAAGGATGGAAAAAGCTATTCCAAGCAAATGGAACTAAGAAACAAGCAAGTGTAGCTATTCAAATATCTGAAATAATAGACTTCAAACCAAAACTAGTCGGAAAAGATGACAAGGGACGTTTTACACTCATTAGATGAAAAGTCCACCAAGAGGCTATTACATTCCTAAACATAAATGCACAAAAACAGGTGTACCCAATTTCACTAAAACATACCTTAGATCTAAAACCATAGGTTAATCACAACACAATGACAATGGGTGACTTCAATATCCCACTGTCAGCAGTAAAGAGATCATCAGGAAAAATTTTAAATAAAGAAACTGAGGGAGCTGTAGTGATGGTTCAGTGTTTAAAAACACTGTTCTTTCAGATGACCCAAGTTCAATTTCCACCAATCATGTCGGTTGACTCACAAATGTCTATAACTCTAGCTCCTGGGGAATTCAATGCTTCAGACCTCTGCAGGAACCTGCACTCACACACACATATCCGCAAACAGATACCCACATATGTGCAACTTTAAAAAATTTTAAAGAGAAACTCAGAAGTTAAATGGCATCAGAAATCAATTGGACCTAACATGTCTATAAAACATTCCACCTAAACCCTAAAGAATGCACATTCTTCTCAGCAGCCCTTGGAATTTTCTCCAAGTCAATCATACATTAGGATACAAAGTCACAAAAAATATAAGAAAATTGAAATAATATCCTGTATTCTATGGAGACACAAAAGGATAAAACTGGGCGTTAACAACAGAAGCTACAGAGTACTACTATTAAGTGCCTACATCAGAAAGGTAGAGACAGCTCCTGTTAATAGTTTAATGGTATGCCCGAAGGCCTTGGAAAAACCAAGAACAAAGAATACCTAAAAAGAGGCAATGGGAAGAGATAAACAAAAATCAGGGCTGAAATGAATGAAATATAAACAATCAAACAAAAATACAAAGAATCAGTGAAAGGAAGTTCTTTGAAGAGATTAAGAAGATTGAAAGACTTTTAGCTAGTTTAACCAAAAGGAGGACCAAAATTACTAAATTTCATCAGAGATTAAAAAAGAACATTACCACAGACCCTGAGGAAATTCAGAAAATCATAAGGACATATTTTTAAAATCTATATTCCAGTAAACTGGAACACTAAGAAGAAATGGTTGAATATATAGACATGTATGGCTTACCAAAGCTTAATCAAAATGAAATAAGTAATTTAAACAGACCCATAGCAATCAATGAGATAGAAGCGATAAATTCTCTACCTTGTAACAGTAAGAAGTGATTATGGCCTGAGTTTTACAGACAGTATTCAATACTACATTATTTCTTCTTATTAAGAGATTTGTTATTTGTTTCCCATCAGCCTTAACAGTTTTTGATTATCATGGAAGTGGCCCCTTTAAAACACACGTCCTTCTGGATGCGAAAAGACATATTTTTATCCAGTGGAAAAAGCATGGGCATCCATTTGTTACTGAAAAGCTCTTTTCACTGAAAGATGACAACTACATCCCACGGCAAATTGACCAGGTGGCAGGAGACCGTGACACGGCAATTATCATTACCCTTGGCCAACACTTCAGACCCTTTCCCATCAACATCTTCATCCGCAGGGTCATCAATGTTAAAAAGGCCATAGAACGACTATTCCTTCGAAGCCCAGACACCAAGGTGATACTTAAAACTGAAAACACCAGGGAATTAAATCAAAACGCAGAGCTGTTCAGTGACTTCCATGGCTATATTCAGAATCTTATCATGAGGGACATTTTTGCGGATCTCAACGTGGGTGTTATTGATGCCTGGGACATGACGGTTGCATATTATTCTAACAATGTCCATCCTCCTGACAGTGTTATTAAAAGTCAGATTGGCATGTTCTTAAACTACATTTGCTAGAAGATTTCAAGACACAGAAAACACCATCAGCGCCTTTGTCTTGATGATCTCACACAGATTGCAAAGATAATGTAATCCAACATATGAAGAAGCCAAATTTACAGAAATATTTAGAATAGTAATTGAATGTAAATAACACAAAATTTGCCATTCAAACCACTTTTAAGTGTACAATTCAGTGGCACTGAGTACAGTCACATGGTATGTAACCATCGTCATGATCCATCTTCATAACTCTTTCATCATCCCAAATAAGAACCCTGTACCTATTAAAGCACTCATTTGTACTGACCTCCAAGACCTCAGCTGCCATCACACTTTCTGTGTCTATGAATTTTATTCTGGACATCTCATATAATTGAAATCATAAAGCATCTGTGATTTTTTGTTTATTTCTTTTTTGTTTTATTTTGTTTTTTTATTAATTTATTCCTTTAGCACTGGGTCTTTCAGATTCCTCCATGTTGTAGCGTGTATGAGAATTTCCTTCTTTAAAAGAAGTATCATTCCTTTCTAAGTATGTTCCACATTTTATTTTTCGGTTAATTTGTTGATAAAAATTTAGTTTGATTTCACCTTTGGTGAATTGTGTATCATGCTGCTAGGAAGAGGATGTGAAATTGGAAGGCTTGTCTCCAGTTCTGAGCTTGATGTCTAAAGAGTAAATCATCATCCATAATTAAATTATTTTTAAAAAGATTGTTTTATTACTTGTGTGTGTGTGTGTGTGTGTGTGTGTGTTTGACACATGTGTGTTCAGGTGCCCTCAGAGGCTAGATGAGGGTGTTAGAACCCTTGGAGCTGGAGTTGTGGGTGGTTGTGAGCTGTTAGATGTAGGCACTGGGAACTGTACTCAGGTCCTCTGGAAGAACAGCATGTGCTCTTAACTGCTGATCTCCCTAGCCTCCATTATCCATAATTTAAAGAAATATACGCCTAGCAACACATAGCTTAAATGATTGTTTCGGAGAAAATGTGACAGGAGAAAACAGTGGGACCAAAAGAGCAGTTTTCTTGCTTTGAAGAATTTATTAAAATTTGGAAGCTAGTTGTTTATTAGATTCCATTAATACTCAGAGGTCACAGTTCAAAATCTAACAGTTTACTAAGCAAACCCAAGCAGTGAAGAAACTCTGGGATTCTTTTTTTTTTTTCTATTTTTTATTGAATTTTGGTGTATTTCATATGGAACATCTCAATCAATCTTAATCATCTTTATACCCCCTTTCCCATGGTACCCTTCCATAGTCCCCCCACTGGAATTCATACATTCTGTCATTTCACTACAATTCATACACTCTGTCATTTGTCTTAAGGCCTATTGTTTCAAATTAATGTCTTCAGATGTTTCGCAGTGCAAGTTCACCTACTGAGGTCTAATCAGCCTATCTAGAGTCTCTTGCTTTAGGAAAGATGAACTCTTCCTCACCTAGCAGTTGCCAATATTTCTTCAGCTAAGATTGGGGTCACTCTCGATTTGAAGTCTGTTTTGTCTGGTATTAGAATTGCAGCTCCTGCTTGTCTCTTGGTGCAATTTGCTTGGAATATTTTTTTCCATTCTTTCACCTTAAGGTAGTGTTTGTCCTTGAAGGTGAAATGGGTTTCTTGCAGACAACAAAAAGATGAATTTCTTAATCCATTCAACTAGCCTGTGTCTTTTGACTGGGGAGTTCAGTCCACTGATATTTAAAGTTATTATTAAAAGATGTGTATTGGTTCTTGTCCTTTTAATTTCTGTTCGCATTCTTGATCTTTGTGTTTCCACAGTTATGTCTTCATTTAGTTTCTTTCTGTTGCCCCTGGGGTATAGTCACTCCCCTTTTCAGCTCTTTGTATTGCTTCTAGAATTCTCTGAAAGGCTGGTTTTGTGGACATAGTTCTTTCAGCCTATTCACATTGTGGAAGGTTTTTCTTTCCCCTTCAACTATAATAGACATTTTTTTTTCCTGGGTAGAATATTCTGGGTTGACATCTATGGTCATTTAGAACTGGGAATACTTTGGTCCATGCTCTTCTGGCTTTCATAGTTTGCATTGAAAACTCAGTTGTAATTCTGATGGATTTTCCTTTACATGTGACTTATTCTTTTTCTTTTGCAGCTTTCAGTATTCTGTCTTTGTTCTGTATATTTAGTGTTTTTAACTATGAAATGCCAGGGGAATTTTCTTTTCTGGTCCTGTCTATTTGGTATTCTATGTGCTTCTGGTATTTGTATGGGGATGTCTTTCTTTAATTTTGATAAATTTTCTTCTACAACCCTGTTGAAGATCTGGTTAATACCATTACCCCGAGATTCTTCTCCTTCCTCTATGCCTGTGATGTATTAATTTGGTCTTTTCATGATGTCCCACATTTCCTCCATATTCCATTCCTGTGTTCTTAAATTTTTTTTTCATAAATTTACTTGAGTGGTCCAGTTCTTCAACTTTATTGTCCAGTCTTGATAGTCTGTTTTCCATTTCATTCATCCTATTGGTGAGGCTTTCTCCTGTTGTTTTTAATTGGCTGATGAATGTTTTACTTCCTTCTTCATTTCAGCCTGAGTTTTCTTCAATATTTCTATCTCTTTTGTGAATTTGGTCAGAAGTTTATCCCTATCTTCTTTTAGTTCTTTGAGTTGGGTGTTCTTTAAAATTGTTGAATTCTTTGATCATGCTTATGATTGTTCTTTCAAATTCTGTGACCTGAGTTATCTCTAGGAGGCTCTCACTGTAAAACTCTTCTATAGAAATGTTGATGTTTGATGGGGACATATTATTTGGATTTTTCATATTATTTTTTCATTGTGATTTTGGCACGTGCGTTTCTTCTGTTGTTTGTGATTCTGGTGTGAGACTCAAGCCTTCCTTTACTGAGTTGAAGTTTGTTTCTGTTTGTATACTTGATGTGCCTTGGTTGTTTTCTTATTGGGTAAGAAAACATTGTTGTTCTTGGCTTCAGGTTCTCCCTTTTGATTTTATACTGGAGGGATCAGATGACTCTAGTCCAGCTACTCAGAAGTTCCAGCAGAGGCCCAAGTTAGGTGAAAATCAGATGCTCTCGGTCTTTGTCATAGTGTCTGGGCACCTCTAGCCAACATGCACAGCACAATTTGGGAAGTTTTTTAGGCAGAGCTTGGATTCAGGTGATTTCAGACAGTCTGCCAAAGTCTGGGCTCCTACTAAAAGGCAAGGAAGCCTAACCCTGCAGCCATGGGGAGATGGGCACAGCACAATTTGGAGAGCTCACGAACACATGGAGTTAAGAGGGTAGTCCAGAGATCTGGGATGTTAAGAGCAAAAAAGGTCTGTGTCCAAAGCTAGAAATAGAACAGGATGTGGGGTTGGGGAGATTGGAGTTGCTCAGGATATAGAGGAGTCAAGGTGCAGTGGGTAGGATCAGACTTACCAGGGAGGAAGGCTGGTCTCCGGGATCTAAGGACTTCAAGGCATGTTAGGGTGGAGATAGCTAGGGTAGAAGACTGGTTTCTGGAGTGCAAAGGCAATTTGGGGCCGGGGATAGCCTGTGAAGGCTCTAAGGAACTAGACTGAAAAATTGAGCTGGTCTGAGTTTAGGGGAATCAGGATGCAATGAGCTGGTTTGGACTAAGAGGATAGTCCAGAGATCTGGAGTGCTGAGAGCAAAAGCATGCCTGTGTCCAAGGCTAGAAGGAGAACAGGATCAGGGAGACTGGAGTTGCTTAGGCTGTAGGGAAGTAGGAGGCTCTGAGATTCTGATTCTTGCTGACCCTAGAAGTATGTTGTGGGATTCCCTCAGAAGACCTCAGATGACTTCCTAAACTTTGTCTTGGAATTTTTCTCTTGTCAGAAAGTAGAACTACTATCTACCTCACACAAATTGGAATATTATTATCAAGGATAATTTCCTGAGTTGGATTGTATTCAGAGTGAATTGAGGTAAAATTATCATATCATAACATCATTTTAAAAAGTCAAGTTCATATAGCTTATGATTACACACTAAATAGCACAACTCACAATAACCATTTCTTTTCTTGGGGCTGGAGAGATGGCTCAGTGGCTCAGTAGTTTAAAGTACTTGCTGCTCTTGCGAAGGATCTGCATACAGTTTCCAGCATCCACGTGGCAGTTTACAATTGTCTATAACTCCAGTTCCAGGGGATCTGATGCCCTCTTTTGCCCTCTGCAGGTACCAGGCACATACACATGGTACATATACATATATGCAGGTAAAAACTCACACATGTAAAATACAACTAATTTCTTTTCATTCATTGAAAATTTAATTTATTTAAATTATGTAGATGTATTTGGTGGGTATGTCAGATTTTAAAAAAAAGTCATAAGATGGTTGAAAATTCCTGACTTTTAAGTCATTTATCTATGTGTTCTTTTGAAAGGAATACTCAGATCTAAATATCTCATAGTGTTTTACCCTCGAACTGATAGCTTTAGGTTACAGTAGATAGTAGCTATGCTGTTAATACACAATGACTTGAGCAAGCCATTTGAATTCATTCTTTACTGTTACAAACAACCGTCTTTCAAAAAACCCATTTCTGCACAGTGGAGTGAAGCAAAGCTAGAAATCAATAGCAAAAGGAAAAAACCCCACAGGAATATGTAGAAGTTAGACAATGCACTCTCGAACAACCAATGGGTCAAGGAAGAAACACAAGGGAATTTAGAAACTATCTGCAGATAGATGAAGATGACACAGCATGTCAAAGCCTGTGAGACGCAAGGAAAGCAACAGCAAAAGAGAGGCTTGTAGCAGCAGATGGAACATTCAGCCACCCAACCACTCACCTCAAAGAACCAGAGAGAGAACGACTTAAACCCAAAGTCAGAAGAAAGAAAATAATTTAGGACAGAGATACATGAGATCTATAGAATCTAGAATAAACACAATAGAATACTCAACAAAATTAAGAGTTGTTTTAAGGTAAAAAAAAATGAATGAACTCTTAGCTAAAGTAAAGAGAGAAACAGGAAGGGAGGGAAAAAAGAAGGGGAAGTGGGAGGGAGGAAGAGAGGAGC